GTTATATTAGAATATTAAATGTGGGTTTTGGTGGGTCTTAAGTGGGTCTACAGCTTGTTTGAAAACAATTCAGTTTTGGTCACCATAATATAAAAAAAGATGTTGAGACTCTAGAAAGAGTGCAGAGAAGAGCAACAAAGATGATTAGGGGACCAAAGGCTAAAACATACAAAGAACAGTTGCAGGGATTGGGTACATCTAGTTTAATAAAAAGGAGGACCAGGGGTGACATGATAGCATTGTTCCAATATCTAAGGAGCTGCCACAAAGAAGAGGGAGTCAACCTATTCTCCCAAGCACCTGAAGGCAGGGCAAGGAACAATGGATGGAAACTAATCAAGAGAGCCAATCTAAAAATAAGTAATTTCCTGACAGAACAATTAATCAGTGGAACAGCTTGCCTCTGGAAGTTTTGGATGCTATCGCTGGGGTGAGGGGAGGGTTCCAAGAAGAGACTGAACAACCATTTGTCTAAAATGGTACAAAATTTCCTGCCTGAGCAGGAGGTTGGACCAAGCTCCCTTCCAACTCTTGTTATTCTGTTAATTCAAAGTTTGATTGCTAAATTTGGAGAAAAAATCTGAAGTAGGGGGACAGCAAGTCTTGATCTTGGGATTTGTATGCATCCACCTTGAATAAATTACTTGGGTTAAAACGTGGGAGAAAGGCTTGCCAAATCTATTGTTGAAAAATATGAGTGGGACAGCTCCTATTCTGGAAAACAATCACTGCATTCAAAATATCTTGATAAGTAGATCAGCTGAATAACATCTAGAGCTGAATAGCATCTAGGAGTGACCAATGCAAAACTCTTCCCCCAGGAAAACAAAACAAAACAAAACAGTATATTCTTCACTGATACATCACTTTCACTGTTGTGTTCCTTTCTTGGGCCCCACATTTTAAAGATTCAGAGAAATTAGAGCAGATACAGGAAAGGTTATGGGTAGTCCTTGACTTATGACCACTGTTGGGACTAGAATTTTGGTTGTAACTCCTGATGGTTGTATGTTGAGGCTCCATGTGACTGAACCCAATTTTACAACTCTTTTATGGCAGTTGTTAAGTGGATCATGTTGGCCATAAGTCCAAAACCACTCTTGTAAATGGGTATTTTTTTGCCAGAAGCCAGCAAAAAATGTCACAAATCATGTTTATCAAAGATGATGAAGGGTCTGGAGGCTAAAATGTATGAGGAATGATTAAAGGAACTAGGTATGTCTAGGCTTAACGAAGAGAAGAACTAGGGGTGACATGAAAGCAGTCTTCCGGTAGTTGAGGAGCTATCACAGGGAAGAGGATGTCAATTTAATCTCCAAAGCACCTGAAGGCAGGACAAGAAGTAATGGATGAGGAGGATTATCAAAGAGAGATCCAACCAGAAACTAAAGACAAATTTCCTGATAATAAGAACAATTACTCAGTGGAACAGTTTGCCTCCTGAATTTATGGATGCTCCACCGCTGGAGGTTTTCAAGAAGAGATTGGACAGACATTTGTCCAGAATGGTACAATGGTACAGGAAAGGTCTCCTGTTCCAGCAGGGCGTTGGGCAAAAGACCTCCAAGGTTCCTTCCAAATCTATGATTGTAAGATCTGGTTTGGCTAGGCAGAAGAGCCAAGTAACAGGTAGGCCTTGGATAGACTGTCCTTTTTTTAACTGTCCCTGAAATGACAATTTTGGCAACTACTTTCCATATTTCAATGATCTAGGACCGTGATGGTGAACCTGTGGCACGCAGAGCCATTTCTTAGGATATACGAGGCGTTGCTCTGTCAGCTCCGGCACGCATGCATGCACTGGCCAGTTGAGTTTGGCCTTCATTTTCGGGCTTTTGTCTCCCTCCGGAGGTTTCAGGGAAGCCTCCTGAAAGTTTCAGAGGGAGAAAAACTGCCCTACAGGCAATCCGGAAGTCGGAAAACGGCCATTTCTGGCCTGGGGGGGGGGGAACGTTTTCATCCTCCCCAGGCTTCTAGAAAGCCTCTGGAGCCCGGGAAGGGTAAAAAATGGGTCTACTGTGCCATCACACACCAAAATTTTGTACAGCATAAATATATATTTAAAAAGAGACTGTACTCTATGATTAAGAGAAAAATGGTTGTGATTAGGGTGTATAACATCATGTATATTTAAAAAGAATTTGATATAACCAGTGCACTGCTGTTGCAAAATTGGAACTATGATGCAGAATAAAGGAAAATGTACAATAAAAATATTATATATATATATAAAAAGAATTTTGTACAGCACCTTTGCACAGCTTTGTGGATAAGAATGCTCGAACTATGAAGCTAATTGAAGTTTTTTTTGTTTTGTTTTTTTTGAATCTTGGTTTCCTTGCATGTATTTAACCCACAATTTAGTTCTGAGCATTCTGTGAAGCTTTTCTGTGTCTGGCTGTGTCATGTACTGTGAAAATAGGGAAGTCGCGCATACACACACACACACACACACACACACACATATATATACATACACACACACACACACACACACATATATATATACATACAGCTAACTTACATTGTGGGATACAAACTCCACAAACTCTTTCTTGTTATGTGCTGACATTTCTTCCCTTGGAGAGAAACAGAGGGGGCTAGAAAGGGGTCATACAGCTGCAAGCTGTTTTCCTTTACTTCTTCTTTCCCAGCTATTCCATTGCCAAGTCTCTTTGAAAATTAACTTGTCAGGGAGATAACAGAGATGGGGGTAGATGGAGAACAGCTGCCGTGACCCCCTTTTCATTTTAACTGGAGAGTCTTTCTAAAAGTAAAATTATCCCGGTGTTACAGAATGGAGCATTGGGTTAACTTTCCAGCCAGGCAGCTTTGCCCTTGTTCTAGAAACTCCATTCCTTGCCTATTTTCTTATTTTGTTTTCTGAATGCCTCTAGCAAATTCTTTGCATTCTATGGCATTTCAGCTCACTCCATCTTCATTATATATTTGGGAGAATTGCTCCTTCACCTCCTTTCTTCTCTTAGAAGTTTGTTCTTCTGTAAACATTTGGTTTCCCCAGAGTCTGCTTGATATTTCTCTCTTGTGGCTCAGTAGCCATATTTTGGCCTCCTTCCTGGTGACATTCCTGCTAAATTCAGTGTTAGAAGGAGAATTAGATTTTAAATACAGTCTTCATGACTGTGAGGGTTGGACCATAAGAAAGGCTGAGTGCCAAAGAATTGAGGCCTTTGAACTATGGTGCTGGAGAAGAATCCTGTGATTCCCTTGGACTGCAAGGTGATCAAACCGGTCAATCCTAGAGCAGATCAACCTTGACTGCTCTTTAGAAGGACAGATCCTGAAGATGAAACTCAAGTACTTTGGCCACCTAATGAGCCTCATGCTGGGAAAGATTGAGGGCAAAAGAAGAAGAGGACGGGGGAGAACGAGGTTGATGGATGGAGTCACTGGAGCAATAGGTGTGAGCTTAAAGGGACTCCAGAGGATGGTAGAGGACAGAAAGGCCTGGAGGAATTTTCCATGAGGTCATGATGGGTCAGACATGACTTCGCAACTAAAAACAACAAAAATTCTAGGATATTCCATTCCAGTTTTTTTCTCTTCCATCTGTGGCCATTTTCAGCGCTGAGACCTAGAAATTGTGCCATCTGCATTTTGAGTTACTTTAGAAAATGCTAACAACATTGTGTGAAAAGCCCAAGCCATCTTAAGACAGAATAATTAAAAAGAACAGCCACGCTCAGATACAGAGTGTCTTCAAAAGGTGGCCACTGTTTAATGAAAAAGGACAGTGTGTGCATTCCCTGAAAAGAATTTTGGGTAATACATAGCCAGGGTCTACATAACAGAGTGAATATGTGATTCACACCATGCCTAAATTATAATATGTTGAATTTGGTTTGATTTAGCATGCTACACAAAATCAATTAATTACGATCTGTAAACTCGTTTTTGCATTAGTGCAACTTTTTAAGACTTGTGTACTTCATGGCTACCTGAGGAATTCTGGGAGTTGAAGCCCACAAAGTTGCCAAGTTTGGACCTCCCTGCCTCAGCCAATTCTAGTTTGTCGAAAAAACCAACAGCTATATATATAGTAAAACTGTGCTAAAATGGCAGTTCAGTTGAACGTCACACTGACGAGTCCTAAGGGGCTCTACAGGAACCAGAGGAAATCAGCTGGCACATAAAAGAGCCTAGCTGATTTGTGGAATCTGGGAAGAAAAACAGATTTCTGTCAGTGTGTATATATGTGTGGGAGAGGGGGAGGGGGAGGGGGGGAGAGAGAGAGAAAGAGAAAGAGAGAGAGATGGCCTAGCATACAGCCAAGATCAGCTAAGAAAGCTTGTGCTGCGGAACTCAATCTTGGCTTATCTCCCACTGCAGCTGTAGAGACTGGAGGTGCAGTTGTGTCCTCTCAACCTTCACCGGAAGAGGGGTCTGATCAAGAAACTGTGGGGAAGGAAAGGAGAAGAGCTGGAGAAGTTGATTTCCAGGGCTATGTCAACAGGTGACCTCAGAAGTTGCTGGAGAGAATTTCTGTCCCGTGACATCTATGGTCCCACCCTTGTAGGTGGCTTGATTACTTTGAGCCAGGGTATCGAGGTGTGCCTTCTATTTCCTTCCTGCTCATAACCTTTCAGCTTCCTATTTAGAAGCAAAAAATTGTGACTGCTCAGCATGCTGCTGATCCAATTATTATTTATCCAGTGTTCTCATCACTGCCTGAGAGTTCACATCCGTCCTGGAAGATAATCCACAATCTCAGAGGTCCCCCTGCCCCCAATGCTGTGCAAGCTTCTCTTGCAGTCCTGTGGTTTTTACCCCCTCCTTCTCCTTGTAGTAGGACACAATAGGTTGAGACAGGAGTGGCTGTTTTTGAACAAATACTCCAAAGGTTGTTTGCTCTGGGTGGGAATCTTCTCAGGAGCTTTGTTGAGGCCATCTGTTGCATCAGAAGCAGCTAAGAAATGAAGGGGAGGATTAAACTCTCATTTTGAGTTTGTGTGATTTGTTCCCTTTTGTTTCCTGTCCAGGGGTTGGCAAAAGTAGCCTTCTGCTCCGTTTTGCAGATAACACCTTCTCAGGTAAGGAACTGCCTTCTGTGATAACGATCATTGGATGGGTTGAGAGTCCTGATACTTGCCATGCACCAAAAATGCTGCAGTTTCAGTCCAGGCCAAACATCTTTGGATAAGATGGATTCTTGGCTTTAACGTCTCATTTTTTAAAGCAGTTGCAAAATTGTAAAACAAAACAAAAAGGATAGATGTGCTGATCCATGAAATGCAAAAGAACAAAAAACAAAAACACAATGCCCAACTGGCAATTGGGAAGAACAAAAATTCCACAAACATGTGTGTGAGTTTCCCAGAGATTTTTCACAAGTCTGTTCCAAAGAATGTGGAATCTCATTCCTTTCTTTGTGGCATTTTAATTGGTCATAATGATAATGATATTGCCCAATTGTGGATTGGGGATTTAATTTACCCAGCGTTCTTTTGTTCAGTTTTGCTATAAAAGAAGCAAATGGTCCTATCTGCTCTAATTAAATGGGTTTGGGTGCTTATTGTGTTTCCCTGCTAGCAAGGCTGTAATTGAATCCTTGCTAGTATGTTTTTGCAAAGTATTGCAACATGAATTCTTTTCAGAATAAATTCCTTGCCTTTCGTCCCTCCCTCCTGCCTTGGTTAAGTTACTTCTTTCCATTTTATTTGGCTTGTTTTCAGTGTGCAGTCAGATCGTAATTTGCTGGTTGGCCAAACTGTTGATTAAATGACCAGGAAAAAAATCTGCCAGAAACACAGGTTGTATTGATTCTCACAGCATCTGTTTTGAGCAAAGTTGCTGTATTTTTCCTGTTACCAATAGGTTGCGCTTGTAACTGATATTAAAATCCTACAAATTCTAGGACTATTACATTCCTTTTTTCCCAATGATTTATTCAGTGGCTCCTTGACTAACAACCATTCCACTGAAAAAAATACTTTACAACTGGCCCTCATGCTTACAACTGTCACAACATCCTAATGGTCACATGATCAAAATTAAGGTATCTGTCAATCAGCAACATTTATTTACAACATTTGTAGCATGTGAACCCCCAGTTGTTTTCCAACAAGCAAATTCAATGGGAGGGGGGAGATGGATTTGTCTAATGACTGTATGATTCCCTTAACAACTGGACTGATTCCCTTAACCATGACAAAAAAGGTGATAAAAATCAGTTGCCACTCTCTTAACAATCACCTTGCTTAGTTAGAGAAAAAATATTTTGAAAATCTCAACAAAATAGTGAAGGTTGTGAGATTCAATCTAAAAATGTTACAAGATGCAAGAATTAGAGGAGGGTTTGGGTTACCAAATTGGGAACTATATTATCAAGCAGCAGTGTTATCGTGGATGAAAGAATGGATTGTACTGAAAAATACAAGATTATTAACATTTACTTACATTTGGGTTGGCATGCCTTCCTATGGTATGGGAAAAACAAGATACATGATTATTTTCAAAGACATTATATAAGAAATGCTTTATTATTAGTATGGGAGAAAGTTAGAGAAAAATACTATTTGAAGACACCAGCTTGGCTTTCAACAATGGAAACATTAATACATCAAATATTATTAATATGGGAAACATTGTCAGCTATAAAGATATTTTGACAGAAAAGGGGGGACTTAAAAAGGAACAAGAATTAGAAGAACAAAGGATTGACATGGTTTGGTACACATAATTACAGATACAATCTAGATATGAAAAAATGCTAAATTATATGGTTTCCACGTGGAGATGACAGAATTGGATGAGATACTTACAGGAATAGAAGAACAAAGGATTTAAAAAAAATGTATACTGTAACTTTACCGCATGTTAAGAATAACAGGTAAAAGAACAATGATAGTGTGGGCAAATTTTTTGGGATATTCGATAGAGTTAGATAAATGGCAGCAACTATGGGAACGAAATTATAAATTAACAATGGCAACTGCATATAAAGATAATTTCTACAAAATGTTTTATAGATGGCACATGTTATCTGAAAGATTGGCAAAATTGTTTAAAGACAAATCAACCAAATGTTGGAAATACCATCAAACGCCGGGGTCATATTATCACATGTAGTGGACATGTATAAAAGTAAAAAAATATTAGGCAAGAATTTGAATGTGATTGGAGAAGATGACTCAGCAACATATTGACTTAAAACCTGAATTGTTTTTGTTGGGCATCTTACCAGGAAAATATAGTAAAGAAAATTTATATTTGATTATTCATGTAATAACTGCAGCTAGAATTGTATTTGCACAAAATTGGAAAGCTGAAGAAACCCCTAAAGCTGAAACTGATTAAGAAAATATTAGATTGTGCAGAAATGAGTAGATTAACACTAGCAATTAAAGGAAAGGAAGAATCTGATTATTATAATATATGGGGATTATTTTATCATTAGTTAGAAAATGAATATGGATAAAAAGTATAAAATTAAATAATTTAGGAAGAAAAATGTTATAACAGGAGATAATGTTAATATAAGAATAGATGTGTATAAAGAATTTGATGGTAAGCTATAACTATTATGACACCAGAAAAATTGTACTCGACGACGCACTGATTAATGAACGATGAAATGTTTGTTTTAAAAGGAAAAAATAAAAAACATAAAAAACACAATCACCTTGCTTAGCAACAGAAGTTCAGCTTCCAATTGTGGTCATAAGTCTTTGGTCTTTTGAGTGCCACAATGAAATTTCTTACCCTTAACAATCCTAGCTATTGTTTTTTTTCCTTAATACCAACAATATTAGATCACACTTCTCTTTTGCAATAATGCATCATAACATTTAGCTTTAATATTTCTCAGTTTGTGTAGTAAAAAGCCATTTTTATACCGTTTTCTGATTCCTTTCATTCTTCCTTCTTTCTTCCCTGTGTCTCTCCAGGTAGCTATATCACAACAATTGGGGTAGATTTCAAAATCCGGACTCTAGTGATTAATGGAGAAAGAGTGAAACTTCAAATCTGGGATACAGCTGGACAGGAACGGTTTAGGACTATTACTTCCACGTAAGTCCAGGACACAAGCTGAATGGAGTGCAGGGGCCTGAATACTTAAGAGTGGGGACAAATTGATGAGAGGCCTGTGAAAAGGCCACGGAAAGAACCTAGCTATTAATTAGCTATGGTAGTTAGCAGTAGACAATCTTTTCACATTTACGATTTTGCAGGATAAATACAGGTGGCCCTCAACTTAATAACCACAGTTGAGGCCAAGATTTATGTTGTTGAGTGAGAAATTTGTTAAGTGACTTTTGCCCCATTTTACAACTTTTCTTGTCAGAATTGTTGTGAATCATTGCAGTTATTAAGTTATAACATGGTTAAGTGAATCTGGCTTCCTCACTGACTTTGCTTGTCAAAAGGCCGCAACAGGTAATCACATGAGCCCAGGACAATGCGACCGTCATGTGAGTCAGTTGTCAAACAGCTGGATGTAAATCACGTAACCATGGGGGTACTGCAACAGTCGTATGAAAAATGGTCATGTCACTTTTTTCAGTGTCATTGTAACTTTGAATTGTCACTAAGTGAACTGTTATAAACCGAGGACCACCTGTAAAAGTTCAAAACCCTGTGCAAAAGTGCTTCCTTATAAAGCCACAAGATTTTTGAGCCAGAATGAGAATATAGTTTAAAAAATTGAATACAGGTAGTCCTCCACGTACGACAACTGAGCCCAACTGTTTCTGTTGCTAAGCAAGACATTTTGTGAAGTGAATTTTGAACAGAGTTATTAAATGAATCACTGCAGTTGTTACGTTAGCAACATGTTTGTTAAGTGGATCTGCCCGTTAACTTTGCTTGTCGGAAGGTCACAAAAGGGGAATCACGTGTCCTTGGGACACTACTGCAGCCATCATAAATATGAGTCACTTGCCAGGTGTCCGAATTTTGATCACGTGACCATGGGGATGCTGCGACAGTCATAAGTATGAAACGGTCATAAGTCACATAAGTCATAAGGGAATTATCGAATTTTCTCTGTTCAAAGCAAGTCCTTTCATTTTCTTTGGGTGCAGGTATTACCGCAATACTCATGGTGTCATCATTGTTTACGATGTGACAAACGCGGAGTCCTTCGTTAATGTCAAACGTTGGCTGCATGAGATTGGGCAAAACTGTGACAATGTGTGCAAGATTTTGGGTGAGTGGTTTTGTTACCAACCTGTTTCCCTCTCATCTTTCAGTGCAATGGTTGTGAGTCTTTGTAATTCTATCACATTACATTGGAACGTGATCAGGGCAATAGAAATACAAGAGATTTTCTCAATAGTTCTTATTCATACTGGAAAAAGAGGAAATGGGTTGTGCATACTTCATGGTGTCCTGCTTGTTTCTCAGGGGGAGTGAAATATTTTTCTTATTTCAGGAATATCCAGTCTAGAAAAGTATATTCAGATGCATTGAGGTTTCAGCCTATTCACATGTTTACAATTGCTTGATTCTTCTTGGTTGCTCTAGAAACAAACATAACTCCAGAGGTATCTCATTGAAGGTCAGCTAGGGAGACCTGATAGTCTCTTTATTTATTTATTGCAATAGCAGCATTGGATTTGAGGAAATTATTTGAGTTGCATCTAGGAACAGGGCCAGATGATATTGTGCTTCCATTCTTCTTCCATTTCAGATTACAAAGTGCTGATTTGGGCTATTTGAACAAGATTTTGGTGGGGGGAAATATTCTACCATGGCTCTGTACATTCTTCCTCAACGGGGAATATTCCAGCTACTTTATTTTGGAACTACAACTCCCACAGTCCTCACCATCATGTTAAGTAGGGCTTCTATAGGCCCTGCCTATTGTTTGCAGTGATAGAATAATATTCTGAGATACTTTGCAGGGTGATACCATTGTCGATCTTTGAGGATTGGAAATAAACTGCTAGATTTAGAGATCCACTAGCTAATCTTGGCCAAAGCTAATCAACTGGACATTTGTCACATGCCTTTCACTTTGATGGCTTATGACAAAAAAGCATTGTGACTTACTGACTGCAGGACAATTCTTTCTTTATCTAACCTGATACACTGCCAACTATGAAAATTTCTCAGCAGGTTTATAAAAGGGTAAAATAAAAATTCAGCTGAGACATTGACATAGAACTAAACACCATGATTGGGATTCCTAGAGAAGAAAAATGATATGAATTCATTATATTTTTTATCTTGCCATTCCTTAACATCTCAACTGTAACAAAGATGAGTATATTGCTTATAGAAAATTGATCTAAACAAAATTAAAGCTAGGAGTTTTTAAAATCCCATCAAGCCACTTGGCTTTATCCAAGAGATGAAGAACAAATTGGTCATCTGTTATGGATTAGAAAGCGAAGTAAATATGGAACTTTGGCTTTGCTTGTTGCAAAAAATGAGAGACCTTAGCTGGGATTAATTCTTGCTTTGTTTACTGCATTGTTCTCTGGTCAGCCAAACCAAAATTCAGTATTTGTAGGTCATTTAACCAAACTGTGAATGGCCTATTACCACAGCCATTCTAGTGAATGAGAAGGCAGATTTCTTAATGAGTCACTCTTCCATCTTAAGCGATTAGTTCACAGAATTATCCTCTTTAGTTTTTTTTCTCCAAAGTATAAGACAGAGAATGTACTGTTTGACATTATCTGCTTACCTCTGCCTTTTAAAATGGGGGACATCCAACATTGGGGCATTTATTTGGACAACATATACTGTGCCACTGAACTATGACTTTATGATGAAATCGTTTTACACACAAAAACACCATCCACTGTAGAAGCCATTAAAAGGATCCAGGTTGAGCGGCTCAAGATTAGGGGGAGGACTGTAGCCTCAAGATTGTATGATTGGTCTTAAGACGTGTTAGATTCAAAATGAAGCCACGGTGTGCCCAGATTATCTGTTACTTATGCAGAATATATCATATAACATTAAAGGGTTTGGATTGTTTTCTTTGCTCTAATTCTCCTCTTCTCCGATCCTCTCAAACCAGTGGGTAATAAATGTGAGGACCTGTCACGGAAGCAAGTAGAGACTGCTGATGCCCGGCGGTTCAGTGAGCAAATGGGAGTGCGGCTCTTTGAGACCAGTGCTAAAGAGAACCTTAACGTTGAAGAGGTATTGGAAGAGGTGGTTAGGAGGGCAAACGTGGGAAGGGAAACTGAGGCCTTCAGTGCTTCAAGAGGGGATGGATGGAGTTTTGGGCTGGAAAAAAATAAACACCTGGTAAGAAGTTTGTTCAGTTCCCTTCCCCTTGTATGTTCCATCTGTAGATGTTCAATGCCATTACCACCATGGTGCTCCGAATGAAACAGGAAAACCTGGCACGGCGACAACAGCAAAATGAGGTCGTCAAAATCAACAAGCCCAAAAAGAAGCCTTCGGTCAAGAAATGCTGCTGAAGAGGCAGCCCCTATAGATGCCTCTTGCTTCTGGAGGAGAGCTGATGAACCGTGGGGAATTGTGTTGGTGGAGAGAACCAGTATGAATCCTCCTAGCCCTGGGATTCTTCTGTTTCTCTTCGCTGGGGAAGTTGAGTTGTGGGGATAGAAAGACAAATTGAAGCATTGCATTCCTTGCCTGCTGATAGGTTGGGGAGTTGTAGGTTGTGCTTACAGAAAGGGGGGTGGGTGGGCAGCATTAAAGAAGAAAAGACTACTGAAAAAAATCATTAAGGTGAATAAAATAAAGAGGATGTGGGGCATGGCTGAGCCCAAGAAAATTGCCATTCTCCCTGTAACTGAAAAAAGCCTTTCTCTACAACTTTGCTTACTCATTGTATTTTATTTCTTCACTTGTGGTCTGACAGCTGGAATACAATTGGTATTCAAATTTAAGTCCCAGTAAGGGGGTTGAGAAGGTGGGCATTAGATTATTTTGGAGCAAGCTCTTTCACATTCTGGAGCTATGCCTCAGTTTACATAATAATAGGAAGTGGAAGGAACACAAGCAAAATGTGTCAGAATTTCCCAGCCGATAGTATTGGGAGTTTTCCTTCTCATCTCTCTTTTAGGCTTGCTCTGATTACTCTAGGTAGGAATGGTTTAGGACCAAACTACATTGCTCTTCTCTTAGATTTGGGGAGTTTTCTATCTTTTCATTAGCCCTGTCCTTCAATCCAGATGTTGGGGAGAAAATAGCCAATTGTCCACATGGTGTGTTTGAAAAAGGACTTCGTAACCTTTGCAGCTATAATTGAGGTACCATTCAGTCATTCCGGTTTACCTCCAGAAACTGAGGAATAAAATAAGAAATGGCGGCATAAATTTTAAAATAGGAGTGTGAAACTATGTCCGGATGCAGCTGATAAGTTGCCAATTTATGATTCCCAACTTTGAGGTATTACAGACAGAGACTCTGTCCCTTTTCAACACTGGGACACTGTGCAATTTATTTGCTTCATTAATTATTTTATATACACCCAATTCTGTAGATAACTAAAACATCTCATTTTAACTCACTGCTAATAGCATCAGACTTGTTAAGGATGTACCACTATTCAATAAAGACATTTAGATATAAAAACAATTCTGCTTTTATTTCCCTGTTACACACACTCCCTAGGTACCAACAGGAAGAGTTCATCATAATGCCAGCTCCTCTCAAGTAACATTTGGCAGTATAAAAGTGTTGAGTTCTCTTTATCGGAAGGAAAAAGTCAAGGAAAATAATTTAAATTCTTCCAACTTTAATGGACATTAAAAATCTGACTTCTGTGCTAATAAAGTATAAAAGAAGTGACAAGAATGCCCATTTAATTCTTATTTAAAAGTATATTTCAGTGTCCTGGGAAGTATTTGCTGATTGCCTATTGAAAGAGAAAATATATATTGGACTTAATTGCAGATATACTGCAAACATGTGGACGGAAGAGAAAGGATCAGATTATTGCAGCTGGGTGAAAATGACGAAGGCTGCCATGGTGGAGTACAATATTTTAGTGAAATGTTTATACTGGCTAGATAAAAGTGCTTTTTGTTAAAAGATACAGCCAGAGAAGTGAATTTGATTTCAAAGAGAAGTAAAATTGGGGTTGTTGATTCATACTTCCATTTCCTCTTGGTTTGCCACTGCTTCTAGATGGGGCTGGACGGGTGAGGGAGTCATCAGTGTCCTAATGGTGTGCAAGAGAGAGTTAGTGTGAGGGCTCCACAGGACAATTTCGGTAGAAGGATTCCTGTGAAAATGAGACAGCTGATTAATTGTTCATCCATTTTCCTTGTTACACATTCCTACAGGTAACCTTTGACCTACGACTGTAATGGAGCCTGCTCATTACAGTCGCAAGTGGTGATAGCTATTAAGCAAGATGGTCTCGCTTAACAATTCCCATCCCCTGGGTGTCTCTCATAACTTTGAATGGCCACTGAGCGACTGGTCGTTAAGCAAAGACTATCTGTACTTCATTAATACTCACAGAGAAAGAAGCATTTCTTCAGGGGCAATGCTGCTTCCTTCGAGACCTTCTAATGTGAAGGAAGATGGCACCAGCATAGGGCAGTCTCCCATCATGAATTCACCGTCTACAATGACTGTGGTCAGCTCTTCTTCTGTAGAGTTGGTTCCTTCACTTGCTCCATCTTGAGACAGCCTGAGACAGAGAAGGCCTTATGTGAGGAAGTCATAATATTCTGCTTCCCTGAACCCACTTTTTTTAAAAGCACAAAGCTGCCATGCTTTCTGGTACCTCCGTTGTAGCTCTTTCAGCTGTGTGTATGCTTGCTGCCATCTGGGGTTTTCACTGTGAACAGGGAAGCCATTAGAACAGTAGATGTGGTCATTGTCCAGGCTAAGGGAATTAAAACGGGCAGCCATCTTCTCCTCTGACAGAAAATGTTTAGAGCGGGGTTCCCTGTTAAGATGCAGAAAACAGTGACCATTCATCCTCCATTCAATAAAATCCTAGTTAGAACAAAGTACTGCTGAACACATCATAGTTAAGACTAACATGCCCTAACATATGGGAGGTGGCACTTCAGTAGAAACATTTTGGAAAGTTTCTGCGAACAGGACGACCTCCAAAACAAAAGATGGTCCTTTATACAGCATTTCTAATAACTTATGTGACTACACCATACTTAGTTATGTTGTTAGGAATGTCTACACCATGATGGCGTGAGAAGGTTCCAGTGTGATAGAAAGCAACATGAAAGGGCAAGCTTAATGACAGCTTATTGAGAGTTTGGCTACAGCTACCACTTAGTCTTGTAAACATTTAGTGACTTAACATCTACACTTCTGAACAAAAACTTAAATTTTGCCAGCATAAGCCATCAAGTACCATCTATATACCCAAAAATATGGAATACAAAAATGGATCAGGGCATTTTTTTTTGTCAATGCCTCCTTAGCTGTAGCTCTCATTTTCCTCCACACTTACTGTTCTTTGCTTTCCAGATGTCGCTTGAAAGCAAGGGATACTGACTGGCACCTAAAAAAAGAAATGAGATTTGCATTAAGAAGCTAAACATCATTATTGGTTATTTTTGTGCCACCAATGTACCTTTAAAATATAATATTAATAGTCCTTAGACTTATGTAGTGCTCCTTAGTGCTTTACAGCACTCTGATCAATTTACAATGTCAGCATATTGCCCCCAATAATCTGGGTCCTCATTTTACCAACTTCAAAAGGATGGAAGGCTGAGTCAACTCTGAGACTGTGAGAAGCGAACTCCAGGTTGTGGACAGAGTTAGCCTGCAATACTGTATTCTAACAACTGCCGCCACCACAGCTCATAAACAGAAGACTCCTGATACTCCCTGGCAGATTCCCACTTTATTGGCTTTGAAAACCCTAAACTACAAAACCTTCCCTTTGGTATCAATTTTATATTACTTTGTTGTCCACTCCTAAACCATTCACAGCTTGGGTACAGAATTTTTGAAATATTTGCCAATCTATTTATTCTCACACTTATTTCAGCAGCAGACAAAACACTTGCCCAAGCTTTTGTTATCTTTTATGGTTTAACTTTTGGGTGCTGCTCAATAAATGATTTCAGAGTTTAACTAAACTGTGCTTTTTAAATATTTTTGTAAAGAAGGCAGATTATATGCTATCAAGTTGGCATTGACTCTTTGTCAACAAATAGATTTTCTCTAAGAGTAATGTATATTAGGGTGCTACTCAAAAATACTATTAAATATCCAAATAAATCTGATACATAGTCTGCTGTTGCCTTCTTTGCCTCAACCTCCTTTATCATTTTTCCTTTGAAGCACAGCTGGGCATTTTACAGGGCCCCTGGGCCACATCCAGCCCTTTGGCTGCCCCTGTCTGGCCTGCATGAGGTCAATTGGAAAGTAGAACTCAAATATGAATAATGTATGGCTTTATCGGTTCAGCCCTCCACAACAGTCCCAGATTCTCATGTGGCTCCTTGGGAAAAATAATTGCCCAGACTTGCTTTGAAGGAACCTCAGCGACAAAACCTTTAGCAAGTTCTCTTAACATCTTTTAAGATGCTTTAGAATGGCCACATGGCCATGTGTAAATAAATGCCAGATAGATGAATTCTCCTCTATCCCAAATCTGCAGAATCTATTTATATTAATCTGAAAGCCTCATAGCATATGATTACCGAGATCTTTGAACAGCACTGAAATTCACCAATCTGTGTCTGGGTTTCATCCGTGGAATTGTGCATGGCACATCGCGTTCCCAACTTGGGATGATGTTGTGGCTATAGCCCATATTCCTGGACAAGACTGAGCAGTGCAAAAAATGCCCAGAAGAAATAGCTGGTGGTGACCCTGGCCTTATTGTAGGATTCATCTGTGAATTAAAGCAAAAGAAAAGTTAAAAAGAATAAATTTTCCAACAGAGATGTAAATGTCTTGAATGGATGTCATGTTGAATTTGAGCACTTCTGAAAAGGAAAGTTAGTCAGAACTGAGTAATATGTTTTTATTTTTTTATATGTAGCTTTATTAAATTTCAAAAGACAATTTTTTAAACAAAATGAATAGGGGAATAAATAAAAGGGAAAGATTAAAATGTGGCAAAAATATATAAAACAAATATAAAGGTAATTTCGATTTCAGAATGTTGCAAAAGAAAATCACATGACTCCAGGACACTGCCACCATCATAAATACATGAGCTGCCAAGCGGCTGAATTTTGATCACATGACCAACAATGGTGTGAAAGTCACACCACTTTTTTCACTATCATTGTAATTTCAAACAGTCACTAAACAAATAGCTGTAAATCGAGACTGACTATATAATAAACATATATCCTTGGGGAAAATAAAGGACAAATGTTTTTTTTAATGGGAAAATTAGAGATAAGAATAAAAATGTTTATAACTTTGTTTTACATAGGAAAATTCAAGGGCAAAAACCATGAAAAACTTTTGCAACATCGCATATTTTTAATAAAAATGCTCCAAGTCAAATAATTTATATTCAAAAAGGCAATTAAAGCGAGTTAATTGCATACAAATTATTTGATTTGGAGTATTTTTATTAGAATATGTGGCTTTGCACAAGTTTTCCTTAGTTTTACTCTTGAATTTTCCTTTGTAAAATACTGTAAATATTGCATTTTTTTTTAAAAGCAAGCATTTTCAGAGCTCTCGGCACTTCAGCTTCTGATCACAATGGACGTCGCTAAAAAAACACCTTGCAATTTCTTATGTAGGGGATCAAGGATTACGAGGATCACAGGGGATTTCCTTAACCCTCCAGGGTCCTCAGGCCCCTTCAGGATAAGACAAATTCGCTCTGACTGGACTTCGCTTTGCTGATCCAGCCCAGCCTGCGCATCGTGGAATTAAAAAAAAAGTGAGTTCCCAGCAGGCTTTGCGCCCTTTGGCAGCCATCTTTAGGACGTTTCCCGACGACTTATAGCGCTCAATCAAGAAATTCAAATCCCAGCATGCCTTGCGCTGGCCTAAGAAAGCCGCCACTAGCCGAAGGTGGTGTGACCATGATCACAGGAAAGGGCGTGGCTCACTCTGAGGGTGGGGTAGGATGCCCGGTCGATCCTCTGCACGTGCGCGCTGTGGAAAAGAAATTGAGAAACGAGGAACGGTCAGTGCACGTGCACGCTGCCGGGTGGGAGGCGGGGAATGAAAGAGAGGCTAGAGTGCGGAGCGGACGGTAGGATATGCGCATGCTCTATTCCACTGCAAAATTTACTATGAAGAAAAACGATTCTTACCGTCCTTAAGACCTTCTCACGCTGGTCTCACAATAGCGCACCACAGCCAGACGGGAAAACTAGAAGCGCCACAATCATCACGTGAAGAGAAGTGATGCTTAATGTCAGGGGTTGTGGGAAATGTAGTTCCCAGTAGGCTGGAACGAGGACTCCCGTCATACTTTGGGTTTTGCGTTCGGGTCTCTCTATCTTCGTTTAACCATAGAGATGCTGAATTGATGGCTCGCGCCCCCTACCGGCTGCCTTTCCCAATTTGGAAATGTTTGGACTCAAAACAGTAGTTTATCAGACTGGCTGGGGTAGATGGGAGTTGTATAGGTGAAAGCTGATTGATTAAATAGATTAAAATGCAAAGCATGTTTCCCATCACTTGGGCTCTAAATTTGGGCGGGGAATTACATTTGGAAAGGAGCAACTAAGTTAGTAATTTAGCATGCAAAGGTAAAGGTTCCCCTCGCACACCTATGTTTCAAAGCCGAAGAGCCAACGCTGTCCAAAGATGTCTCTGGCATGACTATAAACGCTGAAGGTGCACGGAACGCCTTCCTATTTTTTTCTACTTGCATTTTTACATGCTTTCGAACTGCTAGGTTGGCAGAAGCTGGGACAAGTAAGGGGAACTCAATTCTGTTAAGCGGCGCTAGGGATTCAAACGCCAAATTGCCGACCTTTCTGATCAACAAGCTCAGCGTCTTTAGCTACCGGGTCACTGCGTTCAAAATGTAGCATGTACTATGCTTTAATCAACCATCATGCGGCAATTTTAAGATATGTGGACTTCATCTCCCAGAATTCCCTAGCCATTATGCTAGCTGGAGACTTCTGGGAGTTGAAACCCCCACAGCATAAACTTGTCAAGTGTTGAGAAATACTGCTTCAAGTAGTTCATTTTTTTTAGTGTGGTTTCTATTTTATGCGGTTACGCCTGTTCTTAATTATTTTAATCAGGATCTTTTTGAGAATTCCATATAAATATTTATATCATCACCTTTTTGTGATAAAGATCAAATGTGAGGTGACAAAATATATATCTTGCAAACAAAATCAGAAGCAAATAGCAGTTAAGCAGACATAGCAACAAAGCAAATAATGATGAAATCACCACAGAACGGAACTCAATTGCTGCTTATTGATCACACCAGCTTGTATTGAATCTAGTTTGTTTCTAAGGAAATTGAACATATTGCTCAATGTGGGCATGCAGAATAGTGTTATGTTATGTTAAAGTGGAGACTACTGCCAGTCTATCTTCTGCAGGCATCCCAAGAGGATCTGCTGAATATACAAGTAATCTTCGAGTTGCAACCAAAATGGAGCCTGCCCATTGTGGTCTTCAGTCTTTCTGGTTGATTTTATAATGTTTTGTGTGGTGGTTGTTAAGTGAACCATTGGTTTGGATGTTGCTGTGCTGAAAACTGAAAAGTTACTGGTTTTCAGCAAAACAAAATACAGCCATGTGACTGCAGGACACTGTCAAATAAAGCCATGTTGCTAAATGTCTAAAGTGCAGCCATATGATTGCAGGGAGATGACTCAGAGTTTCGGGTCTGGGTCGTAAGCTCCCTTTTTTGAGTTGGGTTGTAACTTCAAATATTGCTAATGTCATAAGTGTGAGGACTACATGTACAAGGCTGGCGAGGAAGGCGCTTACTTTTCTATTTTATCTCCCTGTTAGGAAATTGCTAATTTATTACAGACTAGCCAATAACCCAGCGTTGCCCAGGTACTTATTTATAGGGGGGAAATGTCCAGACGAAACGTAATTTCTAATGTTGGATTTTCACCCTTACCCAGGGTGCCCCCTTGTGGAGTACTGTGAAGCTGCTACCATGGCAACTCCACTGCGCTGTACAATAGAAGCCATTTTGTGGCAGTACAATAGAAGCCATTTAAAGGCACAACAGTCTGCATCTTGACAGAACACACACCTTGTGGGGTGTCTTACCCCACAGTATTGGTCTCCAGAGAGTAAGTCATCTATGTACCAGGTTTGGTTGAAATTGCTTGAGGCATTCCAGAGTTATGCTGGAAAACACACACAGACACAGACACACACATATATTTCCTTTGATGTTTTTTTTTTAATAGCTTATTTCATTGATAATGCAGTGAATGTTGATTTTTGTAATTGTTGCATCTCTTTCCACTCCCCCAAAGCCTTCCCAGTCTGTAGAAGCCCATTGATATCTTTCTTGGGATTTGTTTATTTGGAGTATAGCATATCATACATGGAATAGCAATATAAAATAACATTTCAACTAGATTAGTAGAACCCAATAAAACATAACTGTCAAAAACTTCTACTTCAAATATCAATGTTTAGGCCATCTAACCATTGAAGAACAGCATTGTTTATATTTTAAAAAATCAGTTACTGGACCGGTATATACTCCCAGCTTACGGTTGGTCACGATTTAATTGAGGCACAGGGAGCATCCTAGGCTGTAGAAGGCTGGAAAGGTGACTGCGTAGTGAAAGGTAGTTCATACACGCACATGCACACGCATGCACACACACACGCACATGGGTTGACCAATTTGTACAAGTGCAAGAACACCATCCCTTCTACTCATGAATATTCACTGAAATTATCTTTGAAATAAATGCAGGAAGTGAATTTTATCATCATAATGAAGGAGATTGATGAGGAGAATTGCAGGGCAAATTTTCTGAACAATTATTTGTGCTGGTCTCAAAAAAATCAGAGTTAAACCTCCTATAGTTGTGGGTGAAAAGACTATTCTATATTCGAAAAACTGGTTGTTACTTAAAATACCCACAAAGAACATCTCTGGATGCAGCCTAAATGGACCTCTGCTTCATTAACACAGTCCCCTCATATCCCGGACAAAAACTGTTTCAACTTCTTCCCTCAGGACGATACTAGAGCATTGCATGCCCAAACAACTAGACACAAGGACAATTCCCCCCCCCCCCAAATGCCATCACTCTGCTAAACAACTAATTCCCACAACACTGCCAAATTATCTATTAGGGCTACATTACTAATATCCTTCTCATTTTTTTAATCTATTCCTTATTATGACTATAACTTTGTTGCTTGTATCTTTAGTATCCTATATGATTTATATTGATTGCTTATTTAGTATCCTATGACTATCGCTGAGTGTTATATTTTATGATTTATGTTGAATGATTTTTTATGATTATAATCATGATTTATCACTTGTTGCTGGAATGTACCCTGAGAGCTTATGGAACCAGAGACAAATTCCTTGAGTGTCCAATCACACTTGGCCAATAAAGAATTCTATTCTATTCTTTTTTTTTTCTTCCTCTTTGCCAGATGGACATTCAACGATCTCTTGAGCTCTTGCACATGACCATATACACTCAAAGCGTCTCGCCTTGTGGCAAATATTTAGCAGCCGGAAACAACTATGGAGAAATTGCCGTATTCAGGTATTTGGATGTAGCTTATCACTGGCTATGCTTTTATATATATATTTTTTCCGGTTAATTTTCACTCTTTTTTTTTTTGATAGCCTGTCAGCAGCATTAAGTTCAGAAGCCAAGGAGGAGAGCAAGAAGCCAGTGGTGTCCTTTGCAGGTTAGTGACGGTGGTCGGGCTAGCAGACGAAATCTATAGGTGCCTTAGCAAAGTTTCTGAACATTGGCAATTTTAAGATGTGTGGACTTCAACATAAACATTAGCCTATAGTAAACTGGGTTGTTCTTCTATGCTCAAATTGGGGCTAGTCAGCAGACAGCATGGTTGGGCCGTCTGTCTCTATCCCAGAAGGAATTCTTCATTTGGCATCAATGTTGTTGTGTTTCTTTGGTTCCGCTGAGGATTCCCCAGAAGGCATGACCCATCTTAAGGCCACATTCCTTATGAAACATCTCTCTTCTTTCCATAGCCCACAGTGGAGCTATCTATGCCATGGTGTCCACCGATCGGCAGCTGTTAAGTGCTGGCAATGGAGAGGTCAAAGCCTGGAACTGGAGCGAGATTGTGAAAAAGGTATGTGGGTTGCTTCCCTCCTCCTTCCCTCCTAGCCTGGCTGTAGGTTTTCTGACTTCTGTTATTCTTAAGATGCCTTTCCTTGCCTTCCACTTTAGAGTTGCAAAGAAGCTTGGAGTAGGAGGCCACCTTATGGGTAAAGCCTTGTTTTGCTGTTTCCTGTTTTTGCTATTATTTTTTTTCCAGTCCATGGACATGTTGACATTGAAGGTTTGCCTTTTGTTTCCTATTTAGGAGTAGACTTGAAGTGCCAGAAATCAACAGCCTGTACTTGAACCTGAAGGTATGGCCATTAGGCTGTTTAGGGATAGATGGATCAAGTGGTTTCATCATGCCACATTCTTTCCTTTCTCCCCAACTTTCTCTAGGATAATTCTCTACTGATGGCTGGAGGTGACTGTGTCATTCACATGATGGACCTGGAGACTGGAGCCTTTACTGTGAGTCCTGTGGGGGAAATAAGCCAAGATGGACCTTTCAGCCTTTCTGGTTTTCTCAAAATTCTTCTTAAGATCTGGATAAATGTTGATAATTTAACTAGCAGATCATATCAGGAACAAAAGATCAGGTCCACACATGAAGCTCCAATTAAGCTGATTTATTGTTAATCTTCCCATACAGAGGAATCTTTTCAATTCACATGCTTGGAGTTAAAAGTCAATGGAATTCAAGGAAAGTTGGACTTAGTTTACTAGTGACTACATAGGGATTCTAGGCTGATCCCTCTTTTGACTCCGTCCCCAGGTTCTGCCATTCCTTCTACAAACCAATACTTTTCAGAGGGAGAGAGGGAGATGAGAGAGAGAGAGAGAGAGCATTAAAACACACAAACACACTCTAAATAAATGTTGATTACCAATCTTAATGCATCTATTTTGAATTCTCTCCCTTGTGCATTTGCCCGTTTCTACTTTCTAAACTTGGAGTGTGATTTTTCTCAATCAGGGAGCTTTTCAGCATATGCCCTTCACTTTCAATGCTGTGCTCAGAATCCAGAAGTTGAATTCAATAGATCTGGAAGTATCTATGGAGATTCTCAGTCATCCAGGTTATGATTGTCCCAAAGGTGCTTTTTCAAGAGGCAACTGGACTTTCTTGAGAATAGATCTGGAAGTATCTTCAGCTTTCTTCTGTAAAGTCTAGTGAAACATGGTTATGGCTTTTATAAAAAGTAATCAGTTCTCTCATCAACACATACCGTGTTTCCCTGAAAATAAGACCCGGTCTTAATTTTTAAACCTCCGAAAGAAGTATTAAGTCTTATTTTCGGGGCATATCTTCCACTGTCTTACCTTGCAGTGGCAGCATCAACAGCTCCATCTGCAGGAGCCCATGAGCCTGCTGCCAGCCCACTTCTGTGATTGCTTGCTGCTGCTCATGTGCATCGCCCCCTGGCCTCTGTTTTGCCATTAGAGGCCTTCAAGAAAGGCCTCTTCAGTTGAGAAACGAGCTCTGACGGCACCTCTGAGGTGAAACTGAGGCCAGGGGGCGATGCACGTGTCAATCGAGCATGTTTCTCAGCCGCCTGAAGGCCTCTGACAGTGAAATGGAGGCCAGGGGCAACACACGCAATTAGCAGTAAGTGGCCACAGAAGAAGTGGGCCGACAAGGCAAGGCAGGTGTCAGGGTGTGGGAGGCCTGGCTGCAACTATCCTAAGGGAGGTGGGTGTGGGGCACATGGGATAGCTCCTCTCCTCCATCCCCACCGTAACTTGATTTTTACCTGTGCTCCATGCCCCACCTTGTGCAACTAGGTGCAACTGAGTGGGCAGGATCGTAACTAGGATTTATTTTTGGGGGTAGGACCTATATTGGGCACATGTGTAAAAATCAGGTTAGGACTTATTTTGGGGATAGGTCTTATTTTTGGGGAAACAAGGTATACTCAGTGCTATCTACTGTCCCTGGTCTGAAACCTGCCTTGAGCAGGTCTAGATAATCCTTCCATGATCCTCTGATGATGTAGTCTGACCATTTCTCAACAATCTTATCCAGGAAGGCTGGAGACTGCACAAAAATTGTCCAAAATTATTGGGTCTAGCAATGATTTCTTGAAGAGAAGGGGGTATCACCTCCTCTCTTATTTACCACTGCATGGATCTAATGAACAGGTAGCTCAACTGCCTTAAAGATCTTGCTCATTCGTCAGCCTAATGATCTTAAACACCTCTTGGAATTCTCTGGGAGAGATGTTGTGGGGGATTTTGGAAATGGTATAGATCAGAGACCTACCATATTTTGTTAGGAGTGAATAGCAATTCTGACTCTGAGGCCCTCTGGTGCCGTCTGTCTCTTTCACTATTAACCAGAGCTAGAATGCTGATTTTCATGGGCCATTATTGGAATACCTATATAGGGGTAAACTTGAAGTCACTTTGTCCCTTCTCTGTCCCTTCCTCCACTTCTTTCAGCGTGAATTTCAGGGCCACACTGATTATATCCACTGTTTGGCCCTCCGGGAGCAGCTCCGAGAATGCCTGTCAGGAAGTGAAGATGGGACCGTACGTCTTTGGGGTAAGTGTCTCTTGTGTGAAACTCTGACTTTCTCTTCCTTTCATGCGTGCTCCTGTGTCTTTGTAAAAGATCTAACAGTCTTTAGACCAGGGGAGGGCAACTCCTCCATGCTGGCTCAGGAATTCTGGGAGTTAAAGTCTACAGGTCATAAAGTTGCCATTGTTGCCCAACCCTGCTTTAGACAAACGCAGTATCCTCTGGATATATGAACTCCAATTCCCACAATTCTCAGCAGAGGACATGCTGGCTAGGGAATTCTGGAATTACCTCCACAAATCTGAAAGCTGCCCTACAGGAGCATAATATATATGCCTTACATTAAATTCTTTAATAGTCCACTTACCTTTAGAGGCACAGTCACTCAATGGCTTAAAAAATGCCAAAGAAGATCTGTGCTCTAGATGTTTGAGTCCTACCACTGCTTGACGGAGTGAGCTCCTGTCATTTGCCCCAGCTCCTGCCAACCTAGCGGTCCACAAGTATGCAAATAGCTAAATAAGTACCACTTTGCTGCAAAGAGAATGATCTGTGCTTTGCTGCCTGCTCTGCGCTGTGGTGTGATGTCATGCTGGCCACAGGATTGCAGAAACATCTTCGGACAGCACTAGCTCAATAGCTTAGAAATGGAGATGAACACTGGTCCCCTAAAGTTGGCTATGACTAGTGAAGTAAAACCTTCAGGTACTCCTTTTATGACAACCGGCAGCAAACCTCTGGGATTTCTGGCTGAACATGTCAGAGATTGATTTGAAACTTTGGCTTAACACGTTGTGCTTTATCACCAAACTGCATTCCCTCCACCTCTAAAGCAAACTTGTATCTGGGTCCTATCAGAGCAGAACTTTATCTGTATTGGCCCGACTATTGTGGAACAGGCTCTGGATGCAAAGCTACTGAAGGCTGGTTTGGCTGGAATGTAGAATGATAAGACTTCCTAGGGAGACTGTAAATCCAGATGTTTCTGCACTACAACTCCCAGGAATCCCTCACTGTAAATTGTAATGGTTCAATCCTGCTGTGAGCTTCAGCAGAATTTGCAGAGCTGTTCATTTCTAGTCTATTTGGTTGTGTTTCTGTTTCCACCCCTAATTTGTTCTTCCAGCTGCAAAGGGAACAAATGCTGGGCAGGTCAACACATCTGAAGGATGTTGTTGTGATTTTCAATCAGAAAGAAAATGCTGTTTTAAGGACTGTTTCCCCCCTCCTTCTTTTTTAATCTGGTTTTCAGATTTACGTACAGGAGGTCAAGTGCAATCAATTGAAGTCCACAAATATGAGGTATTTTCATCTTAACCTGAATTTTGAATTGTAAGCCTTCCAGTGTCATTGATAGAGATGAGTGGCTGTAAAGAAACAATGAGTGGGTGAATGGATGAATGAATCAATTTTCTTTCTCCCAAATTCAGAATGCATACTATTACTGTACTTATCCTCTTTTCCAGATTTGCCCATAGATATTTTTAAAAATTAGGAATTTAAATCTCCTTGATTTTAGTGAGCTTGTTGCGGGGGAACTAATCCAAAGGTCACTTATTAATTCTGTGAGTCTAACTACTACTTAACTCAGCAGTTTTCTTCTAAAAACTCTCCTTAATACTTTTAGGAATGCAGCCGCCCTCAGAATGGGAAGTGGATCAGTTGTTTGGCGACAGACTCTGACTGGATGGTGAGTCCCTCAATAAAAAGCTCAAAAGGAAACAAAAAGACTAGAAACACCTCCTTGCCAGTAATCAACATCCAGATAAGCAGACATTCATACCAAGATTATTTCTAGACTAACAATCAAGCAATAAACAATACCCTAATCAAGGAACCACATAGTTCATCCTTTTGGAGCCCCTGAGCTCCACTTTATTCTGAAGTGGGTGATTGGTTTGTGGATTGAAAGTTCAAGCTTGCAGAAAGCACCAGGTTGGGGAAAGAATATTGTGAAATATATATATATATATTAAAATATCACAGGTATGTGGCGGGGGCCCAGCGCTCACTCTTTGGCACCTACGGTCAGTGACACCCACCACTGTATTTCCCTTGCCTCAGTGCCAGCAGCAAGCCATGTTCTACCAAGATCTGGTAAGTCTTACATCCCTGAATTTTAGAACCTGCCCCACAATATATTTTGACATCCTCGCTTTGATGCTTTTGTCTCTTTATTTAACCATTATTAGCCTCATCCTTCTCCTCTGACTCTATTCTTTATGTGTCTGAAAGAGACCCACTGATCTGCTAAAGCTCAGTATAAAGATTTCCAAATTGGTTTAGAAATTCAAGAAAGGCCAACACTTAAAAAAATGTTAATGGAAATGAGCCATCTGGTTTAAAAGACACCTAAAATATTTTATATTCATATACCATAGAGAGGGGATCATTTTACAAGACTGGTGCACGAGGAGGTTTGTAAGATACTTGTATCGAATCAAGTCGGATTTCCTTCTTTTTGTACTCTTTTTCCTTTTTCCTTTTGTCACTTTTTATTTTTTCCCGTCCTCTGATCCCCTCTTTCCCTTTAAACAATCTTCTATATTTTTTTTTTTGTTAATTATATTTTAACTTTCTTTGAAATTCATCCAAGTGGGGTTTTTTTTTTAAAAGTAAACAGTGCAGAGAACAGGAGATTCTCCAAAGATTATGCATTCAAGAGGATTACTATCTATGGAGATTCTCGGTCATCCAGGTCATGGTTGTCCCAAAGGTGCTCTTTCAAGAGGTAACTGGGCTTTCTGGTTTTTCTTTGAAGATGTTTCACTTCTCATCCAAGAAGCTTCTTCAGAGGAGAAGAGCTGAAGAAGCTTTTTGGATGAGAAGAAAAATGTTTTCAAAGAAAAAACAGGAAGTCCAGTTACCTCTTGAAAAAGCACCTTTGGGACAAAGAGGAAATACTGTTTGTGTTTTGGGCAACTTAAGATGACTACTGTTTAACCTTAACCTTAAGTACTTCTGTCTCAATAAGCAGCCCTCCTTTTCTCATCTTTCACAGATTCTCTCTGCTGGCCACAGTCCAACCATTAATCATTTACAGATCAGTGGGGAAGTGAAGGCCCAAATCCCTTGCCTCCCTCGTTGCGTCCACTCCATTTCCATCAACGAACGCTCTGCAGAGCATAAGGTATATAGCTGACCAGAGTTACCTTGTGGTAAGATGGACAGGCAATAAATGAAATGATAAGGTACCTTCAGAATTGCAAGCAGAATTGGAATGGGGGGAGGTGTGTGTGTGTGTGTGTGTGTGTGTGTGTCTGTGTGGTGTAGATATTGTGGCCTGTTCATTGGATGAATGGGGTGGAGCTCAAATTGGAAAGGCGAGTCCTAATATAAGAAAGGGATCATGATATAAGATAATCTCTATGAGCTGCGGTGATGCAGTGGTTAGAATGCGGTACTACTGTCTACTTCTACTGACTGCCGACAGACTGCAGTTCAGCAGTTCGATTGTCACCGTTCAAGTTTGACTCAGCCTTCCATCCTTTCCGAGGTCGGTAAAATGAGGGCCCAGATTGTTGGGGAGGAATATGCTGACTCTGTAAACCACTTAGAGTGGGCTGTAAAGCATTATGAAGTGGTATATAAATCTGTGCTATTGTAATTGTGATTTTTTTCTGTGGGCACACTGGCACACATTAAAAATGAAATTCTGTTGCCTGCTCACAAAAATGTACCCATACATAACAACATATAACTACACTATATACCTACATATGTATATATCTGCACCCTAACATATACATACATACATATGTATGTACATACATATATTTTAATCACGGTCCATCTTGAATACATAGCAGAAAGCGGAAGCTTGAGAGTTCACAAGGTTGATGCTACATGAAACAAAACTGTGGCTCAATCTGCATGTTCTGCTTCGGATACCTCGAAGGCCCCTCCCAGAAGGTAGTAAGGAAAACACATCATGAAGAGGAAGTGTAGCATCCCAGACAATCCTGCAGACCCTGCCCAAGCATTCACTTATGTGCTACGTCATGGATAGAAGGGAGTGAACTGCCAATAATATTTTCTGCCATCCTCACCACTCTCTGCACCGCCTTCTGTCTGAAGCAGTAATGCTTCCAGACCAGACTGTAATGCAATAGGACAGTAGCTATGTGGATTTAGAAAAGGCGGCAGGTGTTTCCATTTTGGAAAGGAGGCAGATATTTGCGTCTTTTTGAATTTTGAAGAAACTCAGATGTTGGGAACAACGTGGAGGTGTTTGGATTCATTCATCATAGCATTTGCATCAAACTTCTTGTTTCATAAAGGAGGCTCCTAGTCAGCTCATAAATAGTGATATAAAACCAAAGCCAGCAATTGAACCAGATGAAATGATAATCTTAGCTGCCTCTTAAGCTGCCAGCCCATTGAGAAGGTTGTACAGTATAGTTTGCTAGGGAATGTTCTGAAGTCCAACAGCTGCTGGGACCTGAAAGTGGTGCTCGCGCCAGTCAACTTCATTTTGAAACAGAAGCAGTACGCAAAGCTGGAGTTGTGGCTAGCTACTCTGGTTCAGGTCATCATATAAGCTCATCCCCCAAATCTTTCTCTTCTCCCTTCAGGTGTTAACAGCAGCTGGAAGCAGCCACTTCATTGACGTCTTCACCAACTTTGGATACCGAGCCTTTTCTCTAACTTTTACCTAAGATGCACATAGTGTATTTTTGTAAATAATCTTGGTTTTGTGTAATTTCAAATCCGGTATAGTCTAGCAGGGATATCTCCATATCTGGAGGCATCTCTGATTGCTGAGAAGTCTGTAAAGTTTGCCTGCAAAGGCGGTTGCTCCCCAACAAGGTTGTGAGAGAAACTCCAAAAACAGGTACCTCAAAAACAGGATTACTTAATATGGAAGTGAATGAAAGGATCTGAAACTTCCCTGAAAGCAGATATCCTAATTCTACTACTGATGTGTGTGTTTCATCCCGCAACTGGACTATTGAATCTATTCATGAAGACATGGAAACCATCCCCCATTCCCCTTGTTTTTCTACATTTAAAAATCAACGCATTTTCATCTATACTTTCCTTTTTATTTTCACAAGTATTTCAACAAGGGTCCTCATTTGTTGGTCTGTAGGGTTTTTGAGAATGGGAATAGCAGTGGGAACTTTTGCAGGTTTAACTATTTCAGTTTATATCTTTAAAAAAATTGCACTGAAAATTCTCCAAACAACTAGAATGAACTGCCAGAATTTGGCAGCAAAGTGTAGGTTTTAGGAGGGCTTCAAAGGGCTCCCCACCCCGTTTCTATCCTTATTTTTACATTGGACTGAGAGACAGTGATTGACCCAAAGTCACCTGGCCAGTCTTCATGCCTAACGTGAGACTTGAACTCACAGACTCCTGATGATTGGTCCAAAGTCACCCACCGGGCTTTTATGCCTAAGGTAGGATTAGAAATCTAGCCTGGTGCCTTAACCAATAGACCAAGCTGTCTCTCATTGAAAGGTGTGTTTGGAAATTCCACAATTCTTATTTTTAAAAAATTGGCTATTACACATTTGGCTATCAGTTGGGTATTTTGGCGACCTTACTCTGCTCTTCCTACCTTATAATTCTGGCTAGCTTCCAGAATCAGCAGTGGACTGGGAACAGCACAGCCAAGCTATAAAGAGCTGTTCAGGATATAACCTCCCTTGGCAAAAGATTTCCTACAGTTTCAGCCTCTTTCTTCTGTGATCATGAAGGTTACAATTACCGGTACTTTATGGTAGAAAACCATTTCTTGAGATGAAGAAAAAGTTATTTATTATTTCAAATCATTAGAGCTGACCAACTCCACTGGACATTGGGCAGCATACAACCTTATCCTTCCAAAAAAATCACAAAAAGAGATGAAAAGTAAAAATCACTAGACTACAATGATCTAAAAATAACACAAACTAAATCAAATATTCCCTCCAAACCCTCAAAATAATTAATCACGGGTGTGGGAACAAAGCTAGATTTTATGGCATTATAGAGCAGTTTTAGAAAGTTCAGCAGGGTTTATTCTTCAGTAGTTTCCACTTCTTCATACATATGTTCATCTTCTATTCTTTTCAGCTCTCCCAGTTCTTCCTGATGTCTTACTTTAAACTCCCGGAGAGCTGCGGTTTTGTCTTCATAGTCCTGGTTGACTGAGTAGCCTGGGAATTTGTGACCCCGGATAAGATAGGCTATGGCATCTGCCAGCATGGCTGAAATCTCATGGGCAAGGGTCTCCAAGGACAAGGGCTGGTAGATGTCATTGCTGCAGTAGTGGGTTTCTGCCAGTTCACACCGAATCGGGAGAACCGGATGGTGAGATTTACTGATCCGGTGAGAGGAGATTTGACCAGTGGACCCGGAAGTAACTTCCGGAACAGCTCTCCAGCCCTGTCGCTCCTCGCTCACCCCTGCCCATCCGGAAGCTGTTCCATCGCTTGTTTCCCCCCGCCCATCCGCACTATCCTAGCCCAATTCTGTGTTAAGTCCCATACCTGGGAGTGGAGGTGATAAACGGAGAAACACGGAGAGGTCCAGCGGCATAATCCACCAGACAGCAGTGGTAAGCTCAGGAGTTTTCTCCTGGATTCCCCTCTGCCTTGCCTCCTCTGTTCTCCCAAAGTTCTTTCACCAGCATGTGATAGCTTTCTATTGGATTCCTCTCTCAGATCTCCCTAATTTCGGCCCTTAATCCTCCAGTGGTCTATTTTTGGGAGATTTCCCCCTCTCTTCTCCCGCCCTTCCTAGGAGTCCCAAAATTTTCTGCCACATGGCTTGGGGGTGGTGGTCATGTGACTGAGTGTTCATGAGTGATGTCAAGTTGGCCATACCTGCCTGGTCTCATGAGTGCCAAGCCATGCCCACAAAATAGGCCACACCCACAGAATAGGTTCTAAACAAATTTGAAACCCACCACTGCATTGCTGGTATTGTAGCTTTTGTTGAAGAGATTGAGAGGCTTCGGGAAGTAGTGAGGGAGGCGTGTCTGGGCCAGGGTGTGTTTCAGCAGCCCCAGGAGGGTCTTCAGAGAGGACAGCAAAGTCTCCCAGGCCTCTTTGCGGGGATGGATCTCACAGCTCCACAGCAAAAGGGTCTGCAGGAGAGGAAAGGCAACAGAACCATTCTTAGATTTTAGGCTGACTTTGGAGGTTCAGACCTCATGACTTCCTTGGGTTGGGTCAATCATCACACTCCTAGGTTTACGTCAAGAAGAGGTGAGGAATTTGGGCAGTGGTTATATTGCAGAGTGGGGTGAGAGACAGCTGAGATTTTATGAAAGAAGACAGCAATTGATGCTGGACTAAATTATGCAAAGCTCTCTATAATGTATGCACCATGGCAGCAGAGGGAAAGGAGACTGCAGAAGGGAGGTGTTTTTATTGCTACCAATTTAACATGCTCCCTTGTGGGGTAAAAGTGAGTCTGTAATTGTACATTGATACAAGTGCCAGTAGTCCTTGACCCAATCTTCATTTAGAGACTAGTGTTATAGCTCCACTGAAAAAAGTACTGACATGTCTAGTCCTCACACATACAACCATCACAGTATTTCTACAGTCACGCTCAAAATTTAGGGACTGGAAACCAGCATGTATGTATGTTGGTTGCAGCATCAGGGTGTCACATTTGCCATTTGAGACCTTCCCAGCAGGCTTCCAACAAGCTAAATCAGTGGAGGAAGCCAGGTTCACTTAACCACCATGTGATCCACTTAACAACTGCAGTGATTTGCAGGCCAAAAACAGGCAAAAAAAATCATATAACCAGCCATGCTTAGCCATGGAAATTCTGGCCCCAATTGTGGTCATTGGTCAAGGACTACCTGCATATGGGGAGTTTCAATGTATCTTCATGAGGATGAGGTGGAGGCTTAACCTGGCCTAGTGTTCAGGAGATTCACCTTAAGATGGTAGGAACTCAAGATTTTGCTGTACTCCAGGGTCCAAACTTGAGCAGTCGTAAAGCTGCCCGTCTCTGCCCTCCATCAGCATCGACTTCTTTAAGGATCAGCTCCTCAGCACAGCTGAAAGACAGCCTGGTTCCCAGGGAAAATGGTGGTTGGGAATATTGTAACAGTTCTTCAAACAGGAGCTTTAGAACCATATATCCAGCTCAGGTGTCCTCCCTGTGTATCTTAAGTTTGCAGCTCACCTTCCTTCTTAACCTGGGCAGACAAAGTGAAAACAATGGACTCTAGACTTATCCATAATCTGGGAAAAGATGCAGCTGCTTTAAAGAGTTCCGAAGAAGTGCTAGATTAGTATTTTTGTGCATTAGGAAGTGTCTTTGGTTTAGAATTGCTCAAAGTAGATGGGTCACCTGGATATGATGGGAATTGTGAGCTGC